CCTTGCTGGCTGGAGAATTCTGGGAGTTGAAGTCCACCTGTCTTAAAGTTGCCAAGGTTGAGGAACCCTGTTTTAGACTGCAGCTTGTAGCATTTCTGGGGAAGGGGAGAACAACTTATTAAAAGCCCAAGAGTTTCCCTTTAATCACTGTATTTAAATTGCAAAGAAAAACTAAAAATCAAGTCACTGGTGCAGGCTGGAACTCTGTGTGGGAGGAATGACAGACAAAAGGGAGGTTGGACATGATTGGGGAAGGAAAGTAGAGAAGGTTGCTTTTACAGAAAATGCTCAAGGTGGTTTGTTCAACAAACAATTCAAAGCCTCCATGGATGTTCTAGGCCTGAGGTCTCTAACCTGTTCCAGGCGTGTGCATATAGGAAGCCCCCCTGAGAACACTCCTTCTCTTGTCTTGCTAAATTAGGGCAATACAAATCTGACAGTAAATGCATGAACTGAAGTTATGTGGTTTTTCAGGGAGGGATCAAGGTTGCTCTTCAGGTTTCTGACATGTCATGGAAGGGAGTTAAGTGTTAATTCATGGTCCCAACTAAACTGACCCTGCCCCCATGTTTTCAGTTAATACCTGGAGGAAACTTCCACTGGCACCAGTGGAGGCTATACCAGTAGGGATGTCAGCAACTACTAAGATTGTGGAAAACTTCTGTCAAATCATCCCATCAAAGGTGATTCAGACATCAAAGGAGAAACCTGCTTTCCTGCAGCAAATCAAATCAGGTGGCCTGAGAGGACTTCTCATGCATGCAAAGGGCTCTGCAGATTTCATGGCTTCCCTGATTCCTCTGGGGTTGTTACCCTATACAGTGCCTAACCCTAAACTGAAACTAAAACTATAATAAGAAATAATAAGACACCACGTTGCAATTTTACTTCTGTAAGTAAGCAACAAGGAAGAAAGGATTTGAATAGTATGGTGGGCTCGCTGATCTTGACACACATTGCTGCCAATGAGTTTTATCACCTTCTTAATAGTTTTATTCTTTATTCGTGTGATGTATTATTCCTCCTCCAGGAACTCAAGCAACATAGATCATACCCCTCCTCCAATTTCCCCCCACAACAATAACCCTGAGAGTTAGTTTGGGTTGAGAGCGTGAGTGAATAGCCCAAAGTGAGCTTCTGGGACTAAGAATGAGCTTGAACCTGGGTTTCCCCATTCCTAGTCCAACACCTTCACCACTATACCCCTCTGGCTCTCCGCTAAATTCTCTGCCAATTTGGGGGTGACAAAGCTAACATTGCTTTGGTCTTTCTTCACTTTTTCAGTTCTCAGCTTCTTGTGCTAATGAACTTTTACTCTTCTATGCTGGTCCTGCCAACCAGCCAGGAGTTGAAGTCAGCTCTTAGCACTCTAAAGATGGACTCAAGGAGGCTGGTCCAATCCAATACATACTCTTGAGTCAAATCTGCTGGATGCCTGAGGAAAGTCTCTTATTAATGAGTCAGTGGATGCCAGGCTAACATTTCTGGGCCCTGGACCAAATGTTTTAAGAATACAGCATGGCAAGATAAAAATGGCATGTTTTTCATACCAGCTGCTTTCTCTGCAGCCTGCCTGTTTCTGAGGCACTGTATCTCCCTACGTCAACCTGTTTCTATTGTCCTTATTAAGTAAGTAACATGGAGGAGATTATAAGTGAGACTTGCTCAAAAGATGCCAAACGCTACCATTGTGCCTTCCCAGTTTGGCATTCCTAGAGCTTCCTAACCAGCTTAGGTTATTTCCCTGGCACCCCACAGAAACCAGGGAATAGAAACACAGCACCATACAACAACATCTCAGAGCATTCTTCAGTGTCACGTTAAGCCTAGCATCCAAGAAAATTAAGAGCTTACTTGTTGAATGCTCTTGGAAAATATATTTTTAACTTAGAATAGAATCCTTCAATAAAAGATCTCTGCCATAAGATCTTTGTTAAATAATTCAGGGATCACTGCGCTATTTCTGCTTTAAAAGAGGTACAGGGAAACAATTCCAGCAGTGAAACCCTTGAAGAGCTGAAACTTGGCACAATTAATGTTCTCTGAAGGATTTCTACTACTTTCATCCACTTCTGCCAGAAATGAAGCAGCTACAGTTTTGATGTTTTCCCTTTATAGCCCAGGGACCAATTTTTCCTTCAAACTGAATCTCAAAGTAGATCAGATCAAATCAGATTACCTTTGAATTTCAAACAGCAAACTCAAATCAAATCATGTCTTCTTTCAATATCAGAACCCCAGCTAAAATCAAACCAGGGCTGATTCATGTTGGCTTAGCATCCCTGGGTGGAAATGTTTTCAACAGGACCACAGTAGAAGAAAAAAATACAATTCTTTTCCCCATACAGTGCTATTCCAACAAAATCTTCTCTAATTTCACTATTTCTTTGAAAAATCCAGTATAAAATAACAGATAAAAGAACTTTTGACTTTCCCTCTGAAATGGACAACCACCATTTTGAGAGTGAAAATAATACAGGGAAAGATATAGGGAGAACAGTTCTGGGTGCTTGGGACTAATTTGTATGATGTTGGAAGTAGCACTGGCTTTAAAAACCCCACAAATTCTTTTTCCTGCTGTATCCCCATGAGATTGCCTTCAACTTGTCCTTCACCCATCAGACAGGCATAAATCCTCTGTAGGATTTGTCCTTACAACCTGCTAACTGCAGTCTAAACTGCTGTCTTATCCTCACTAACCATTTTTAAAGGGCATATCCTTATCACGTTGCCTTCATTTCATCCCCAGCCCACTGTGTAGCCAGTGTAGATTCAAATTTAGCTCTTCCCATAGAAGTAGTGTTTTCCCTCTTCTCCTGACAGAAGTATGACCATACAAACAATCTACCCAGCTCTTACTGGCCACTTGAAGCTGACTTGGTCACTCTGCACTATCCTCCATATCCATCTTGACTTGGGCTACATTTGGCCCAGAAAGGAAGCTCAGAAATGTGGAGGAGCAGCCATGGAAAACCTTTATTTAAACTGATACAGAAGCTTTGCTAAGCTCAGAACTCAGGAAGCCCATCCTTGATGGAATTCCAAAGGGTTTATTCTTGACTAAGCTCTTCTCTGAATGACAGTGTTAAATGTTAAATGTCCAGCGGTACAGATAGAACCAAATGGGCCATTTTCAACGTTTGGTAACTGGTTTTGTTGCAATTAAATTTATTTCTTTTTCTAGGGTTACAACTGTGGTCATCTGGAGTAAGTGATTTCTCCATTTTGGGGGCAAGGCGATTTTCAAAGAAGAGTCTGAATGACTGAAATTATTGGGACTTCATGCAATTTACTGTATTATTTTGAGCAGCTGGAGTACAGATTTGATCCTCACCCCCACAGAGCAAAGGGCACCTCCTTTTAATCTGTCAGTAGGCACTAGCAAATCACATTAGCATAAAAATATAAGGTTAGGATTGTGTGGGTGGGCTCAGAGAGCATCGGCCTTTTCAAGGCAAGTTTAATGCTCTTCTGGAGCAGCACTGTTCTGGCACTGCACTATTCTAAAACAGCATTAAAACCCTTTGAGCACAACCACGTAAAAGACTTGCACAAAAACAGAGCGAGGTTCGACACCTGGTTAAACTCACAGCTCTAATCCTCTGTTAAAACTCACCTCCTTCTCAGACATTCAGGAATAGAAGTGGTGAGTGTTTTCCTGATGGCTAATGACTTTTGGTGGGAGGGCAAACAAGACCAGTGGCACCTACCAATTCCTTTCTTTAAATTATCCTACATTATAACTATTTAAAGACAGCATCCCTTCTTGGCCACATTACTGATTTAGCAATGGGAGTAGTACAAGCACACTGCCATAATTTCCTGCCTCTTCAAAGACTGGAGGATGTGGCCATGAGGATGATCCCTTAGCTGTACTAATGCTAGTCTTTTCTTCCTAATTCTCATGGGGACCACACATGTCATGCCTGCATGGTTTTCTGCTGATTGAAGGGTGGGTGGAGAGCACTTCAGTACGACAGCACGGAAAAGTTCTACATTCCCCTTTCATATCTTGTCTAGTCTAGTCTACCTGAATTTCTGAATTTGTAAATAAATAGCTTTCCTTGAATATGACATCCTTCTGAAGCTCAGTTCAAACATCAAATTCCAAATTAGGAAAGGATTCCTAAAGGCCTTGTACTCCACAGGAAAGGAGAAACACTAGAAATACCCAAGTATTTTAAAAAATTAAATAGCCAGGGAGGGCAGAGTTTTACATATGGAAACTCCAGATTCACATCTTCCCTTAGCTGTGATGTTGAACTCACTGGGTGGCCAAGACCCTTTACAGCCTAATTTATTTTTCCAGGATTACTGCAAGGACAAAATTCCACTCAGAGGTTCTCAAGGGTAGAATTCATGCTAGTGTAAGAAATAAACACAACCAAGAACTACCAGCACTTACAAATGGGAAAAAGCACCCAAATGAAGCTGTTTCTTTTATTCCCTGGTTTGCGTTAGGATCTTTGGAAGATCAAGCTGATTTCATTGTAGCAAAGAAGCTACATAAGATGTTAATCTAGAAG